AGAAGATAGAAGTCCTGCTTGAGAAGTTCAAAAGCTTCAAAATGCTTCCCGGAGAATCATTTGATATGTTGGATGAAAGATTCCACAAGATATTGAATGATCTTGCTTCACTTAACCACATTCTTTCTCCCAAAGAAAAGAATCTAAGGTTGCTGAGATCACTTCCAACTGAGTGGTACACCAAAGCCACAGCCATGGAAGAAGGAAGAAACCTGGAGAACTACACTGTTCAAGGTCTCCTTGATGAACTCAGAACCTATGAGCACGAGCTGAAGAAGAAGAAAGAAGAACAAGTCACTCCCTTCCCCACGGCATTGATGACAACTCCAAGAATCCCATCAAGTGAAGGGACATGCACAAGAAACTGTGACACACCTTCCTCCAGCCAGCCGACAAGCTCAAAAATGGAGAACTACGATGATGAATTTGCCATGATGGTCAAACAATTCTGGAAGTTCAAGAAGTTCTTCAAGAAGGCTGATTCAATCAGAAGGCCATCCAAGGGAAAGTCACAGGTAAGTGACTCCCCTCCCGAATCTTATTTATGCTATAACTGCAGGAAGCCTGGCCACTGGAAGTCAGCATGTCCATACCCAAAGGTGGAGAAGTACGGAGAAAGAGAAAGGATCGAGAAGAAAAAGAAAGCAATGGTTGCTTCTTAAAGTGACGAGTCATCCAGCTCAAGCTCGGATGAAGAAGCCTTCGTCTGCATGGAGCGCAGAGTTGGGAAGTCCAACCATGAGGACAGGTGGACTATGTCAGAAGATGACACTCTCTGCCTAATGGCCAAAGATGATGCTGATCAAGAGGTAACTTCACAAACCTCATGCTCATCTTCTTATAGCATACCAACCTCTGATAATCTTTTTGACCAGTTCAAAAAGATGATGAAAGATTTTGAGGAGATAAATCTAAAACACTCATCCTTAACAGAAGAGAACAAACTATTGAGTGAAGAGAATCTCAAGTTGACTCAAAATCGGAAAAGTCAACTGAATGAGATCACTCAACTCAAGACTGAAAATGAATCTCTCTCTGAAAAGGTGAAATCCCTTAACAAAGAGCTAGGGATACTTAAGTCCCAAGAAGCAGTGAACAAGCTTCTTGAAACGACCAAACAAAAGGGTCGCAAAGGACTTGGCTTTGACCCCTCTAGTTCCCAAAGAAAAGGGAAAACAACTTTTATCCCTCCTAAACCTACTGCCAAACCAAATAAGCAGAAAGGGAAAGAAAAGGAGAAACCAACAGAAGTTCCCAAAAAGGTAGTCCCTCCTAAGAACTATAGGAAGCTGGACAGACCTCAAAAAGGAAACAATTTCAGAAGAAAACCTTCTAACCCCCAATATACACGAGGCTATACTCATTATGGGGTAGACAGGAGTTTTCCGAGAAATTCTGAGTGGAGAACTATGCAAAGATATAGTCATCTTCCACCCCAGAAACTATTTGTGCCACCTAAGTATGCTTATAACCAACACAGGTCACACTATGAACAACCTAGACAAAACTATAGGTCTTATCAACCTAGGTTTGCTAGGAGGAAACAGGAAATTGCACCTCCTGCATGTAGGAAGTTTTATGCCTACAACTATAATTACAATCCCAACAAGTTTAGAGCTACAAGGAAAATTCCCTGCAACTTTAAACTTGATGTAGGGACATACACCATTAACCATTCCGGACCCAAACTGAAATGGGTACCAAAATCTTCCTCCTCCTAATGCAGGAAGCCGCTAAGTACCCAGGTGTATGGTACTTAGATAGTGGCTGCTCAAGACACATGACGGGTGATGCGAGCCTTTTGAGCAATCTAATTCCCTATGATGGTCCAAGAGTTACTTTTGGAGGAAGAAATGATTTTGGCCTTACTGAAGGGCTAGGAAATCTGGTGTACAAGGGACTAACCATCCAAGCTATATCTTATGTTGAAGGACTCAATTACAACCTTCTTAGCATAAGTCAGTTTTGTGATAAAGGTTACTCCTTGGAATTCTGCAAGGACATGGAATCTCTCAAGAACATCTCCACAAATGAAGTCATTCTCACTGGGAAGAGAATCAGAAACATCTATGAAGTGATATGGAACGATGTCAAGGAAGCATGTCTCATCAGCAAAGGTGACACTAACCTTCTATGGCTTTGGCATAAGAGGTTGAGTCATCTCAACTTCAAAACTCTCAACAAGCTATCCAAAGAAGGGTTAGTAGAAGGCCTTCCCAAAGCTGTATTCAGGAAGGAAAGCATTTGTGATGCGTGCTAGAAAGGAAAGCAAGTCAAATCTACTTTCAAGGCAAAACCGGCACCCTCAACTACAAGGATATTAAGTCTTATCCACACGTACTTATTTGGCCCTGTTACACCAATAAGTCTAAGTGGAAATAAATATGTCCTGGTGGTAGTTGATGATTACTCAAGATACACGTGGACAATCTTCCTCAACAGCAAGAAGGAAACTCAAGGGAAACTCACCAACTGTATGAAGCTGATTCAAAACCAAGCAAGTCAGACCATTCAGAAGATCAGATCTGACAATGGCACAGAATTCGTGAATGAAATCATCATTCATTATTTTGAAGAAAACGGAATTCTTCATCAGACATCCGCAGCAAGGACGCTTCAACAGAATGGTGTAGCGGAAAGAAGGAACAGAACCCTGAAGGAAGCACTGAGAACAATGCTAGCAGAAGCTTCCTTACCAAAGAGGTTCTGGGCTGAAGCGGTTAACACAACTTGCTATACTCAAAATAGGAGTATGATTTACAAAAGGCACAACAAAACTCCCTATGAACTATGGAATGGGAGAAAGCCTAATATATCATATTTCTTTATTTTTGGGAGCAAGTGCTTTGTGTTAAACAACGGGAAGAATCATCTGAACACTTTTGATGAGAAATCAGATGAAGCCATATTCCTTGGATACTCTATGGTGAGCAAGGCATTCAGAGTCTTCAACAAAAGAACCATGATAACTGAAGAGTCAATACATGTTACTTTTGATGAAAAACATGTGGTTGACAAGACATCAAAGCATGATCATGAGATTCTGGATCTATCTGACAAGGATGAAGAAGTCAATGAAGGAGATAAAATGAAGCCCACGGAATTCATTCCATTCAGAAGTCTACCACTGAAGACTTCACAGAGAAATCCGGATTCAAACAGTGCTGAGCCTACCGAAAATCTTGGCCAGCCTTCTAATATTCCGGATCACTCAAACGGCGACAATTCCGGAAATGGCAACCCAGTGCCAATCCACCCGGAAACACCAACAACTTCTGTTCTTCAACTATAAGCTGAACTAGATCAACCAGCCAATCCTAATCAACACAATCTTCGTTGGTTAAGGGATCATCCTCCCCAACAAGTCATTGGAGATATTCAATCTGGCATTCGCACAAGAAGTGCTCAGCAGAATCTAGAACCTATGCTTGCTTGTTTCATCTCACAAGTGGAACCAAAGAATATTGAAGAAGCTCTAGCTGATTCTGATTGGATCAATGCAATGCAAGAAGAACTCAACCAATTTTCCAGAAATGACGTCTGGAAACTTGTTCCCAGACCTACTCATCAACATGTCATTGGGACAAAGTGGGTCTTCCGGAACAAGATTGATGAAAACGGCGTTGTTATTAGAAACAAAGCCCGGTTGGTTGCCAAAGGATATTGTCAAGAAGAAGGTATAGATTTTGATGAAAACTTCGCTCCAGTTGCTAGACTTGAAGCTATAAGGCTGTTTCTAGCCTTTGCTGCTCATAAGGATTTCAAAGTTTATCAAATGGATGTCAAAAGCGCATTTCTCAACGGAAACCTCGAGGAAGAAGTTTATGTGGAACAACCTCCAGGATTTGAGTTACACACTAAGGGAGATCAAGTGTATAGACTCAAAAAGGCGTTGTATGGACTCAAACAAGCTCCGAGAGCTTGGTATGATACATTGTCTCAATTTCTTACAAACAATGGATTTATCAAAGGAGTCATTGACAAGACATTGTCCAAACTACAAGATGGAGAAGATCTCCTGTAAGTCCAAATCTATGTAGACGACATCATATTTGGCTCAACTAAGGAAGATCTCTGCACCAAGTTCTCAACCCTCATGCAAGGAAAATTTGAGATGAGCATGATGGGGAAACTCAACTACTTCCTTGGCCATCAAATCAAATAGAGAAGTGAAGGGACTCTCATCAACCAAGCCAAGTACACAAGGGATCTTATCAAGAAATTCAAAGTTGACCAGAAGTCATCCGTTTCTGTCCCCATGAGTACAGAGGAATTGTTGGATCTCTACTCTACCTTACTACAAGCCGTCCGGATATCTCATATGCAGTAGGTGTTTGTGCCAGATTCCAGTCAAAGCCAAAGGAAAGTCATCTGATAGCAGCTAAAAGAATTCTTAGATACCTCAAAGGAACTCAGAACATGGGTTTGTGGTATGCTAAGAGCAATTCATTTGAGTTAGTGGGATACTCAGATTCTTACTTTGCCGGATGCAAAGTTGACCGGAAAAGTACATCTGGTACTTGTCAATTCATTGGTGGAAATCTTGTTTCTTGGTTCAGTAAGAAACAAAACTCTATTTCTACATCTACAGCAAAAGCAGAGTACATTGCTGCTGGTAGTTGTTGTGCTCAAATTCTGTGGCTGAAGCAACAACTACTGGACTATGGAGTCAAGACAAAGGAAGTGACAATCTTTTGTGACAATCAAAGTGCTATAGCCATCTCACAAAATCCAGTGCATCATTCTCGCACTAAGCACATTGATGTCAAGCATCACTTCATCAGAGATCATGTGGAAAAGAAAGATATCAAAATTGAGTATATCTCAACTGAAGAACAACTGGCGGATATCTTCACCAAACCACTAAGTGAAGCCAAGTTTTCTGATTTACTTCACAAAATTGGTCTAATTCAATTAGACTGAATGCGGTACACGTGGCCGTTCATTTTCCACGTTTGTCAAAATGGTTGGTGGGGACGTGGCCTTGGGAACAGTTAAAAATCCAATCGCCACTAGCCGCATAAATTGCCCACATTAAACCCAATCGTCACTATAATCAGACCTCAACTGCCCACTCAGCCCACTCAAATTTTTCATCGTCTTCTTCACGAGAACCTTCTGATAAAATTCTCAAGAACCCTAATTTCTTCAGATCTTCTCACTCAAATTTCCGAGAAAATGAAGATTGTTGGCGCTAATATCCATTTCCAGAAGTTGGAAGCCAAGTGCTCCTCACCAACGTTCTATCAATCCTATCTGGAGATGATTGCTGCTCAAGAGCTCTCCGAATTCCTTCATATGGAGATTCGATTTAAGTATGAGAACGAAGTTCTTGAATTCTACAAGAATGGAAAGGTCAAGACTGTCAAATCAATGAAGGACCCACAAAGGACGATTCAAGTCATCAATTCCACTGTTGGAGGGACAAAAGTGAAGCTTTTACAGAAGAAATTGGGAGAAAAGCTTCACCTTCCCAATTCTGGAGTTGAAATTGGGAGACTTCCAGCCAAGAATCTGGATTGGAACATTATTGGAATTTCTGGGCAAACTCCCTCTGGCCCAGCGAAGAATACTCATCTGAACAACGACTACAAGCTAGTCCTTGAACTGGTCATCGCATGGCTCGAATGTGGAAGTGGAGAACATGCTGATGACATCACCCAAGAGAGGGCCTTCATAATCAATGCCCTCATTACCAAGTCTAAGGTAAATTGGGCTGCTCATTTCTTCAATTCCATCTCAAAGCATCTGGGAAAACCCAACCAGAAATACCTTTGTCAAGGTCTGTACATTGGACATATCTTGGAGTCCTTGGGTGCTGCTTCTAAAGGAAAGAAGTATGAAGCCAGATATTGGCTATACTATCTGTCTTCCAAAGGGGAAAACAGAGCTGGTCCTAGCACAACTGCAGAGGAAAGTTCTTCAGACAATGTCCTTATCATGAGTCTGAACAAATCAGTAAAGAGGAAGCAACTGGTGTCTCCCTCTCCCAGTGCTGAAGCACCACAGAATCTTGCTCCAATCAATCTTGAAGAAGAAGAAGAATTCTCTGACCAAGGAGAACTACAAAGGAAAAAGAAGAGGAAAATCACCTCTCCCTCAACATCTGGATATGTCAATCCGGATGAGTTGAAGGAGAAGGAACCAGCTGAGGAAACCTCTGCCCACAACCGGAGTCCTCAACAACTTGAAGAAGAAATTCCTCAAGTTCAGAATTCTCCAACCTCCTCACAACCTCAAGTAGATGATGCTGAGAATCAATTCTGGCAGCTCTACTATGACTGGAGAGCTTGGAAAGTTGGAAATTCAGCAGAACAGTTGCTGAATTGGGACCAGCAGCTGAAGAATGAGAAGATCATCAAGAAGTGCTTAGGTCTGCCAGTCAACTATTGCTGTGAGGAAATCCTGGATGTTGACAGGGTATGGGAAAGGAACTATGAAGATTTGCATCTGGAACACTTAGTCACCTCACCAATTTCAGAATTTGAAGTGGATGATGAGGATCCTGCAGTCTACAAACCAGTCTTCTCAAAAACCACAGAAGATCAGGTGGTTCTCACTTCTTAAGCACAGGCTAACTTGGAAACAACAGCTGGGGATTTCCAAATATTTCCGGAAAATTCATCTGCCTTTGAAACTGTTCTTTCTGAAGCTTCAGTCTTTACTCCACAAAAACAAAACCAGGAAGGATCAAATGAAGAACTCCAGCAACTTCTCCATTCTGAAGCTTTAGAGATTCTCACAAATCCTTGTGAGATCACCAATCCTACTGAAACTGAGATCCCGGAGAAGTCAGCAGAAAATTTGGAGATGTCCAAAACTCCAGAAACAAATGAAGCTCAAGAAGAGCAAGCTGTAGAAGCGCAGAGAAGTTCCGCAGAAGCTGAGAAGGAAACTCAAATGGCAGAACTAGAGGCCTCCAAATCTCCACGAGCCATTTTTGAAGGACAGAATGAAGCTGGAGAAAGAGACTCCCTCTCTCGGGATATATCAAATTTTACACTTGGGGAAGCAGAAGAAGAATCTGAAAGGACCCTGAAGATCAATGATGAAGAAGATGTACAAGATGATGTTGAATTTCTTCCTATGCAACTCTTCCAAAGAACACCCTCTTCTCATCAGGTAACCAACTTCCATTTTCATAGCTCTTCCATTCCTATTCTTCCGGATGAGGTACCGGAAATCTGGACAAAGAAGGTCCAAGGGTTGATTGAATCAGCCCTAGCATCTCAACATGCCTCCTTTAGGCAAGAGATAGAGCAGATAGAAGCCAGGCACAACAAACTGATTGAGAAATTCGAAGAGACACACTGCTCCAATCTCAAGGAGATAAGCAAATCAATGGATAAAACTCTAGAGATCTTATCTCTATTGAGTAACACTGTGAGCAACACGATGGAGACATATGCATCTGACAGCTATCTTCCACTCAAGGAGGTTAGCAAAATCAGAGAGCAAATAGCAAATGTCACAGTCAGTCTACAAAAACAAATGTCCATTCTCCAAATGGACATCAGAGCCGCTCTGGGAGTATCTTCAGCAAATCAAGTAGTAACCAAGGACTACTTGAAGGTAATCATTGACAATCAGAAGGAAGCACACAAACTATTCAGACTTCTTACCACAAATTCTGGAAATCGCAAGATGGAAGTGGTTCTTCAACAACACAGTCCATCCTTGATTCTAGAGCTCCCCATTGCAGTCAAAGAAGGAGAAGTCTCTTACATTCCTACACATCTAAACTTGACTGATCTAGTCCTTGAAGCTTAGAGAAGCAATCCGGAAAACTCAACACAGCGCTTATCCAGCTCCGGATTGGATGGAACAGAGGTTGTAGGAACAATTGATGCTCACTTCTCAAATGAAAATCAAACAGAGGAGAGACGCAACAACATAAGGCGCATCAAAGAACTATGTGGAAACATGCAAGACATCAAGGAGATTGCCGAATCTTCAAAGCGCAAGAAGCACTGAAGGTTTCTTTTTTCATCAAACCAAGGGGGAAAGTATGTGAAAACATTAATTTGCTTTGATGAAAACACCTTCTTGTTTAAACATTGCTTTATTGGTTTAAACATTGCCTTAATATTTCTCTTAAATGTGATTACTATGCTTGATTCAAGTATGTTTTTGAGATTTATTCCTAGCGCATACATTCAGGGGGAATGTAATTCAGGGGGAACTTAACTAGTTTTTGGCTAACAATTGTTTTTGGCAATGAATTATTGATAAGCTCTAAGAAATGAAAGACGGATATATCTGTTTTGGTACTAAAATTGGAAATCTCCGATTCAGGTACTTTACAAAATCTGCCTTCTTAAACTAAGCTTCAGTCCTTAATTCATTTCCAACAAGCTTTAAAAGTACTGGTCCTTAGGATTTTTAAAATGTACAGGACTTTGGAAAAATAGTACCACTTTTCTTTTAAAAATAAAATTCATATTTGTTTTGGTACTACCTCGTCCTAAGTAGAAATTAGAACTATAGGGAATGAAAAATGATAGTTTTATTTTGGGCCTTGAGAACCCAATAGGAATAATTTCCCTTTAGAACATAGCTTTCTTTTCTTTTTGGGCCACTCTTTTGGGATTAGCCAAACTAAAACATTTATGGTTCTCAAACAAAACGAAACTGATTTTCAAATTGGAACAGTCTCAATTCATTGGTAATTGGTAAAAGATTCCTTCCACTTTTCAACTTCTTGGAAGTTGAAACTCTTTTACTCTCACCGTTCCATCTACCCAATTAATCAAACCCGTGAACCTCCCCTCTCTCTACCTCCTCTCTTATTTAAATCAAGATATCTCAATCCATTCCTATCACAAACAGCTCTTTCAATATGAAAAGTCTTCAAACTCACTGTCTAAGAAACACACCAGGAAAAATATCCTCAATGGAGAAATTTTTCTTTCTCACCCTCATAGACGGCAATGGAAGAAGCCTATTGAGAAGAAAAGACTTTCAAGGTCTATGGTGAAAATCTCGGCAGTAGAGAAGGTGTATGGTGAAAATCTCGTATTTTTCAGGATTACACCATACACCTTCTCTGGAACAACACTCTCTCTATCTTTCTTCTTATTTTGAGAGATGTGTTGCTTCCAAGATCTTAAATATCCACTTTGGATATTAAAGATCTATCAAACGCAACGCCAACCGCTCTGCCAAGCAGAATCTGCTGAAGCTGAAAACGGTCAATGGCGGAAGAGATCACAAAATCTCAAGACAAGACTTGGTTTAGGAATTATTGTAATTTGAATTGTATTTGTTTAAGAGTTTTTGTTAACAAGCTGTATATTATGAGAAACTAAAAGAAAGTTACAAAATTAGTTCTCAGTACAGCGACCGGAACTCTTAAACACTTGTTTGTCATCATCAAAAAGGGGGAAATTGTTGGGAAAAATATCATAGATTTTGATGATGATGTATTTAGAATGTAATAGGGACTTTAGGTCTCCCCAGATATTCAATGTAATTTTT